CCGAATCTGGAGTCTCCAAGGAATCGACAGGAAGTGATGTGAGTTCTACTGTAGTGGAATCAACCTCCTTGTGAAGTCTCTGTCGTAAGTAATGCTGAGAAGCAAGATGCAAAGGAGGTGGTAAGGTAGGTGACACAAGATGGTCAAGCACAGGAGTAGACACAGGATGGTCAAGCACAAGAGTAGACACAGGGATTGGAATTGGGAGAGGAATAGACTGCTGACTCACTTCCCCAAAGCACTCCCCCTGAGAAGGATTCTTGGAAAAGATGTATGTGGATTCAAAAAAAGTGACATCCATGGTAACATACCGGCTCCTAGAGACTGGATCATAACAACAATACCCTTTCTGATTTTCTGCATATCCAAGGAAGACACACTTCTTTGCCTTGGGATCAAGCTTTGAGTAGTGAGGACCAAGGACATGTGCAAAGCAGACACACCCAAACACCCTGAGAGGAATATGAAACATCTCCCCCTYAGGAAAAAGGAGACTGAATGGGGTGTTGAATCCAAGTATACGAGAGGGCACCCTGTTAATTAGATATACTGCTGTGAGAACTGCATCACCCCAAAACCGAACTGGAACTATAGATGTGCTCATCATGCTTCTTGCAATTTCAACAATGTGTCTGTTCTTCCTTTCTGCAACACCATTCTGCTGTGGACTGTAAGGACAACTGCTTTGATGGACAACACCATATTCTAACAGATATGAAGCAAGGTGTTTTTCAAAATATTCCCTGGCATTGTCTGATCTGAACACCTTTATTCTTGTTCCAAACTGTGTTAGCACCATCTGATGAAATTGCCTCACCAAGGATGGTACTTCATTGTGGGATCTCATAAGGTAAATCCAAGAGTATCGTGAGAAATCATCCACAAATAAGAGAAAATATCGATAGCTTTCCATAGAAGGAACATGGAAAGGTTCCCACACATCCGAATGAATAACATCAAAAGAAGAAGAACACCTTTTATTACTAGGTTTAAATGAATGCCTACAATGCTTTCCAAGTCGACAACCTTCACACTCCAGACTCAACAAACTAACAGACTCAAAAAGTTTTGGAAACAAAAGACTCAAAGAAGAAAAAGGTAAATGGCCCAAACGAATATGCCAAAGCATAATTTGACCCACAGACCTTAACTCACTATCCCTACTGACATGATGACTCTGATGAGGAGGAAGAACATCTAGGAGGTAGATCCCATTCACTTCACGACCACTCCCAATCGTCCTCTTTGAATCCAGATCCTG